CTATCTGCAGCATTGCTAAAATACATTAGAAAGATATAGTCCATATCTGTTTTATTCAGGAAGTTGAAGTCTTTACAGTTTTATACCAGAAAAAGTTTGTCTTTATTATGAACCTATGCGTTTTGTTTTGTCAGACCGTTAAAATTATCATTTACTATTTTTTTTGGCAGCCAGGCATTTTAGAGCTAACTTGTAGTTATTATGTGGCCAAAGTTTTTATATAATCATCTGCATCATCTACCTCTCTTACTAGTCTTTTTGTTTTAGTGGCCCTGTCATGTGATTTTTATTACGAATATCCTTAATTCCCTTTTGAAAGTTGGTGGTAGATAAATTCAATAAATTCAACAACTATTGAGTACCTACTTCTTGTGTTAAGTTAAATCTGTTGTCCTGGCAATAGTGAAAAAGACAGGTATGGCTTCAAGGAATTAAAAAAAATACCTTTTTCAGAAATGACTAGGAAATGCTTTGTTCAAATATAGAACAAAGGAAACTAATATATATATATATACATATATATATATACACATATATATATACACATATACATATATATATATTGCTAAGCACGTAAAATACACATATTCATTTTATTGGTAGTTTAACATCATCATTAGGATAGATTGCCATTATCAAAGCCTAGATGTTTTCTAGAGCTGTTTTGTTTTATTCAGATTAAAGATTCAGAACTGGAAGCTGGATCTCGAATAATCTCTGACATAGCAATGCACATATAGTCTGGCCATTGTGTTCTTAAATGTCCACACAGAGTTGTGAAGCTGGTCTTCTCTGAGAGCCCACTGCCCTCAGGCCTTTCAACTTCACTCTGGGGAAGAGCTGGCATGTGTGAGATGACCAAAGGTTGCCCAGGGAGTCTTTGAAAAAGATGATAGGCCCTCTGATAGGTACTATAAAATGATTTTGAAAAGAGAAGGAAGGCATCCCTACTTTAGTCTAAAAAGGAAAGAAAGCCTTTTTTCAGTTGTTCATATTGTTCTTTTATGAAGAAGACTCTCTTATGCTTTGTGCAACTTTTAAACAAATACCCAGTCCCTTGAACATTCAGACTACTACATAAAGGCTTAGAAGGTTGCAAATACAGTGGTAGTCCATTCTATAAGTGGTTGGCCGATAGCATCATTTCCAAAAACATTGGAATTCACACACTTTAAAATGTAAATTCACTGTATCTTTTCACCATGAGCTGACTAAAAAACTAGGCTCATGAATTATTCTGCCCTAAATATGTCATCCCTTGCCTTATGAAAGAGAATATAGTTAATGCTGAATTTTTCTGAAGCTGATTGCCCTTTAAGTGAATGTCCTTGTCTTTTCCTTCTAACTGTTGGCCTTTTGTTTATTTTACTGCTTAATAACATTTTTACTGGATAGGCAGAATAATGTCCTCCCCCACAACCAAAGATGTGCCTATCCTAATCCCCACAACCTATGAATATGTTACAATACATGTAACAAAGGAAGATTAGGTTGCAGATTGAATTAAATCTGTTCGTCATTTTACCTTAAACCCAGAGATTATCCTGGGTTATCAGAGCTGCCCAGTTTATTCACAAAGGTCCTTAAATATAGAAGAGGACATCAGAGTGAAGTGATATGAGAGGCACTTGACCATTTTTGCTGGTTTTGAGATTGAGGAGGGGACCCCAGGAGACTACAAACATGGAGACTTCTAAAGCCTGGGAAAGACAAAGAAACCTGTTTTCCCTTGAGCTTCCAAAAAAGAATGCCTCCTGCCACCCAGTGAAACTCACATCAGATTTCTGACCTACAGAACTGTTAGATAATACATTGCTGTTCATTAAAGCTACTAACCTTGTAGTTGCTTGTTATGGCAACAGTAAAAACTAATACATTTACCCATGTTCCAAGAAAGGAAGAATGAAGATGAAACTTGAGGTACTTCCATCCAGAAAAAGATCTAGTGTGTGCTGAAGTTACAGTGCTTGTTGACAAGGAGATAAAAGGCCATCCATGAATTTCAGCACCCTGCTGTCACAGCAATCTACAGGTGCCTGTTCCCGGTGTAATGACCTAAAATACACTTCAAAACAATATACCTTTGTTTCATTCAGCCTCCAGTCTGCCTACTTGGCTGTCATTGGAGTGAGCTTTCCATAGAACAGATCTAATTGTGTTATTTCTCTTTAAAGCCCATTTTATGATTTTCCATTGTCTAGAGAAGAAAAAACCCACACATGTGGGCTGGCAGTCAAGGCCCTGCGACAACAGACTCTTCTGTAGCCTATGTCATACTTCTCTTTCTTGTGTACCTTGTGTTAGCCAAGGTAAGGTAATGACGTTCTGTGAGTCCAGCAATGTGCTTTGCACTTTTCTTCTTTGTACATTTCATTTCCTCTACCACCAGTGTCCTCCCAGATGTTCACACCTGCTGGCAGTCCCCTATGAATTCCCTGAGACTCAACTCAAACATTAAATTCCCTGGAAAATCAAAGAACATACCACATCAAATAAAATTGTTTGGTCTATCCTATATGCCACATTGTGACTAAAATTTTTTGTGATCTTAAATTTATTTCAATTTCATTGTGTTTCATTCTGTGAGTTTCTTGAAGGTAGCAAGTGGGTCTCAATAATATATTTGTGGGATTTTAGTAACTCACATAGCTTATACAGTAGATACTCATAAATATTAAAAGAACAAATGATAATGTTTCCTGACCTGGCCAATCTACCACAAGATTCCATTTTAAAGGGAGGTTTCTGATTCCCAGGCCACTATTTGGTTACATTCTGCCTCTAAAAGTTAAGTATTGTAAAAGAAATTTTCTTACATACCTAGGGAACATTTTCATTGTAAGTAAAATTTTGACGCTGACCAGTTTACTTTGATGCCATTTCCCTTTTTAACGCTTGGAATTTCATGGATTGTATTGTATCAAAATGAAAACATCAAAATAATCTGTGGTGTTCTTTTCATGGGTCTGTTTGCAAGAATTATTTTGTGTGATGTATTTGTTTTTATTTTTCACATATCAAGATGACTCTGAAATGTAATAGAATAGCATAGCAAGTATCAAATTCTTTGACTTTAAATACTGGAATTTTCTCTCAGTGCTTCTATTTTCTGCCTTTCTAGATTTGTTATTGATGTTAATTTCTCAGCGGTTTTACATAGGTCTGACCTTGCTGCACAAGTCTTTGCGAAAATGAGAATGTATATGGTAGAACTTGGAAACTGTGAAACAGTATTCAGATGGAATGAGTTATTTTCATAACTTTTATTATCACTTTACACTGTGACTGCAAAATGTTCACAATTTTCATGATGATGGAAGTAATTCCACTGGGAATATCTCTTTTTTACAACTGCTGTCAGAACTCAAAATCTTTAAATGGTTGGCATAATTTTTAGTGTGATCAGCAAAACACATCCTTCATGTTGCATAATAACTTATAAGTTCGGTTTACTACTTTTAAAAAGGAAAATTTTTATTAAGATGAATGAGTCGGCATTGTTAATATTTTACATAAGAATATGATCATTAACTTGAGAAAATAGTAGAAGGAAACCATTGATAAATCATTGAAACATAAATGTATTTAAAACAGATTGTATTTTTGAAATACTATGAAACTGTTGATAAATATCTGGAAACTGTACGTTGTAATTGTAGAAATATCTAGCTTGGATACCCACTATCTGGTTTGGGTAAAGATTTGAATTCTGTCACTTTTCATAGGTGATTCACCAGGAATATTTTGCTTCCTTTGTTTTAAGGATAGCTTTATTTTTTTAATTTTTTTAAATGTTTTTATTTATTTTTGAGACAGAGAGACAGAGCATGAGCAGGGGAGGGGCAGAGAGAGGCGAAGACACAGAATCTGAAGCAGGCTCCAGGATCTGGGCTGTCAGCACAGAGCCCAACGCAGGGCTCGAACTCACAGACTGTGAGATCGTGACCTGAGCCGAAGTCGGACACGTAACCAACTGAACCACCCAGGCTCCCCTTTAGGATAGCTTTAAAGTAATCTTCTGATTTAACTACTGATACTTTCATCAGAAAAGGAATATAAAAAACCTGACTTCTTTAAATGTACCAGAGGTATCTCCTATTGTGCATTATATGGCTTATTAGAGCTAGTCTCCAGTAAATTCATTTAGAATAAAATTAGTCTATAGAGCCTAATCATGTAGATCGTGCTAGAGACTTCCCTCACCAAATATTATACTTTACTAGAAGCCACAAAACCATTCTCATGTATGTCATGTCAGTGTCTCATCTCCTTACAAAATGCCAAATAAATTGACATATTCTTACTTCTTGTGTCTTTATGGATATTCCTCTACCAGATTTCTGCCATTACATCACACTTTACGTATTATATGCAACAAGTCTATCCTTTTTAAGTACATAAGTTTATAATGTATGATGACTTCTAATTCATTCCATGGACTTGGAGTTATCCTTGATTAGCATTTTAGTCATAATGAAACTACCAGTTGCCACTGCCCCTAGTTTTGGAGTATATTTCACTTTTAAAGCCTTCAACTCTCTCTGTCCTTTTTTAAAATTTTTTTTATTTATTTTGAGAGAGAGAGAGTGCATGCATGCATACCTGGATGTGTGCAAGCAGGGGAGGGGCAGAAGGAGAGGGAGAGAGAGAAGACTCCATACTCAGCTCTGAGCCTGATGCAGGGCGCGATCCCATGACCATGAAATCATAACAAACCAAAATCAAGAGTCAGGCACTTAACTGACTAAGCCACCCAGGTGTCCCGCCCTCTGTCCTCTTGCTTGAGTATCTTTTCTTGATTATACAATGTTCAAGATAAATTTATCTTAGCAGAATCTCTGTCCTATGATCCTTTAAACACTTTGCATGGATTCCCATGTTAACTTGATGGTATTACTATAGCTCTTAACGGTCTTTTTTAGATCTACTATATTTTTCTATGTGAATAATTGTTTCATTGAATAACTATCAGCAACAATTGTTTTATTCTTTCTTCACAGGTACTACAGTGCAACCATTCTGCAGATGTCTGGTGTTGAAGATGATAGACTTGCGATATGGCTGGCTTCAGTTACAGCCTTCACAAATTTCATTTTCACACTCGTGGGAGTCTGGCTTGTTGAGAAAGTGGGCCGCAGGAAGCTTACCTTTGGGAGCTTAGCAGGTAGGTGACTGGATGAAGAATTCAATTACAAACTTTTCTCTAATGATGGCAAGCTCACCTTCCAAAATACAATACCAATGCTACTTATGATCTTGTTCTCATAGCCAAATGATAGAGTTTTTTACACAAAAAGTTTTTTCTTTTAAAGAACTTAATGTTATGATATGTAACTAGAATGTGACTAGAAACTTGAATTGTAAGAACAATTTGAGTCTACAGGGGTAACATTCTGCTGCTGTTATTTTTGAGTTCTGCTCAAAGGTACAAAAGTGAAAAGAATAATTGTGCTTTTTTGTTCTTCTTTGAACAATTTGATATTCATAAACTCCCTTTTAAACATGTTTTATTTTTAAGTTTGGTATAATATGGAAGTAAATTTGGAGGTTTGTTTGTTTTTTTTTTTTTTTCAAGGCTCTTTCAGCAATATAGTGTTAAAACCATATAATTTCTTCACAAAGCAGGGGCAGACTTTTTGTGTTTGAATCAGGCTCAAATTCTAAGGTAAATTCTGGTTGGTTAAGTGTGTTTTCACAAAGCCTTTCTCATTTCAAGTATCTTTTGTCTTTGAATTCTGTACATTTCATTATTTATTTCTTTGTTAACACAAAGCCTGTTTCATTTGACAGGATGAGACCCATCTTTGCCAATGTCTTCTCTTGTTGCATCATATACTTTTCTTATTTTTTTCATACATACAGATTGCTAATTATCAATTATCTGTCCTCCAGTAACTCCTTTATAAGTTTATTAGAGTAAGAAAAGATTTTTTCATTAAAATGTGAAGTTTCCAGGCCAGCATGAGCTAACTTCTATTTTAACCAAATTATACCTTTAAACACTGATCTAATAGCACTGCTTCAGGCACTCATCCCAGATTTTAATGAGAAAATACATTCTGAGCTGCAACCTCAGCTATTAGGAACTTGTAGTCTCTGCCATCCCTGCCTCCAGAAGGAAGAGTGGAATGCTTCTACCCTCTGTTCTTGCCTAACCAGTGGGAGGACTTGAGTCTGTCATGTAAGTGGAACTGAGGGGAAGGTGAACAAAAGTGGTCTGGCTAAGAGGCAAAGGTAATCACAACAGCCCAGGGAAGCAGAAGGGCAAGTGAGGAAAGTTGAAGGACAAGGAGGCTAAAAACCATCCATTCATAAACTTGTCAAACACTTATGTGTTCATAAACACATAAACCAGAAGTGTTTAGTCTGGAAAAAAGACTAAAGGGAGACCTAAGAGATATCATATTCTTTTTTTGTTTGTTTACTTTTGAGAGAGAGAGAGGGACAGAGTGTGAGCAGGGGAGGGGCAGAGAGAGAGGGAGACACAGAATCTGAAGCAGGCTCCAGGCTCTGAGCTGTCAGCAACAGAGCTCAACACAGGGCTCGAACCCACGAACCATGCGATCGTGACTTCAGCCAAAGTTGGCCGCTCAACTGACTGAGCCACCCAGGTGCCCTGAGAGGAATCTTATTTTTGCAGATGATAGATGTTATAAGGGCATAATTTTTACTTGATATGAGAAAAATATTCTTAATAGAGCTTTCCAATAATGAATTTGGCTGCCTCATTAGGATGTTAAACTGTGAACAGAAGGATAGATGACCATCAGATAGTGATGTGCTAAAAATAAATTCCTACAGTTGATTAGAAATTGGGTTTGCTGACTTCTGAGGTTCAGATCAACCCTAAGAAGAGGTAAAAGCTACTTTAAACATTTTTAAATAGATACCTACCCTTCCTTTTCAGCAAGGCCTCCATTAACTGCTACTTCAAGAGGTCTATTTTTAAATAGAGTTTCTGATTAAATTTGGCTTTTGAGATCTGGGGAAAACTGGTTTTGAGATCAGGGAAAACATTTTTTCTGGTAGCCTTGGTCCCTTTATTTCTTGTATTTCAATGAGACATTTTCTCATCAATTGAGGTTTTTCAGGCTTTGTAGATCTAAAGCCATACTGCTTGGGTTGGAATTTTAGGACTTTGGGCAAGTTTCCATTTTCTCATAGGTAAAATGCAATTAATTATAGTCCCTACTTCATAGGGTTTTAATCAGAACTGAACACATTTATACACGTATGGCATTTGAAACTCTTCCTGACACAGTAAGGTGCCTAGCACATCTTAGCTATCACAGCATTATTATTGACAGAGTGATTCTTTGTTGTTTTAACCATAATGTGAAACCAATATGCATCATTGGAATCCAGGAGCTTTCCTGAAGCCTTCTAGCTGATGTCATGTTTCACCTCTCAGTGTAGGTACTCTGCTCCAAGGATTTCCAGAGCCCATCCCTGGCTATTAAGAGGAAGTAAAGACCATTAATTGGGGGGGGCAATACCAAGAGATTTCAAGTACTGGTTTTTATGAGCAACCCGTAGGCACTTTTCTTTTCTGCCTTGATTTCTTTTCAGCCAAAACGACCAACACCCCAGCTCTGCACATTACTAAAACCATGCTGATTGATCTGGCATGAAAGAGATATTACATCAAGTAAACACCTGATTTCCTTGTTATGTTGCCAATTAAAGTGATGATGTAGATATTACAGTGGATTAGGAGGTAAAAGGCCTAGTTTTTATTTTTTTTAAGTTTATTTATTTCAAGAGAGAGAGCAAAAGAGAGCAAGAAGATGCCAGCAAGAGAGGGGCCGAGAGAGAGAATCACAAGTAGCCTCCACTCTGTCAGCACAGAGCCCAAACAGGGCTCAAACTCATGCGCCATGAGATCATGACCTGAGCCAGAGTCAAGAGTAGGATGCTTACCCAATGATTGAGCCACCCAGGTGCCCCAGAAGGCCTAGTTTCTTGTCATAGGTCTCCCCTTTTACCTGTACATATACATGTAAATAGGACTGTTTCATGCAGTTCTGGTTTTTAACTGATTTAATAGGTCCCAGTAGAACCTAATGACAAATGGAAGTTTACACATTCAGAAGAAAACTTGCTGTTTCACAGCCTTGCTAGTGGATTAGTATTACTCCAGTGTGACCCTTCCAGTAGGTGCTCATTTCACTTCCTGATACCAATTGATTCTTATATACTTATTTCAGTGTTTTTGATATATACTTACACTTATAAGTTATATACTTATTTAAATGTTTTATTTTCATTTTTGTGTAGGTATAAATATTCTTATAGTGCTAACTATTAGAATACTGTTTTATTTAAAATTTTCTAAAATTAGCCTAGAATTTTTAAATCTTTGATTTGATTTTGTCCCGTCTTGCATTTTTATATGATCTATTTTTCTAAGTTTGCTTATTTTGAGAAAGAGAGAGCAGGGGAGAAGCAGAGAGAGACGGACAGAGAGAGAATCCCAAGCAGGCTTCACACTGTCAGCACAGAGCCCAAAGCCATTGAGATCATGACCTGAGCCAAAAGCAAGAGTCAGATGCTTAACTGACTGAGCTACCCAGGTACCCCTGATTTATTTTATCATATCGGGTTAAAAATAGTGGGAAAAGTTAAACCAAAATAATTTTTAAATAGGCACTCATTCATTAAAAATTACAACAAATAAACTATGCATATCTAGACCTGGACAAAAGAACTCTTTATACAAAGAAATATAAAATATAGAGTCCATGAGTAATTTTAAATGGAGGACATTTTATGGTATTCTTACCTTAGAGCTTGGTCAGAGAAGTAGTCTTTCTTGTAAATACTACAAATTTAAAGACAACCTCTTGATTCTTTTAATAAAAGGTCTGTATCTATGTAGCTTTACTGTAGTTAATCAGAAAACCAGAAACACTGTTATTTTTCCCCAAGGATCTTGCTAGTAGAATATTTCTGAAAACATCACTCAGAGGCTGTCTCCATCAAAATTACCAGAGGTACTTATTTTGAAATATGCATTCATGGACCTTATCCCAGACTTATTAAATTAGGATCTCTGAAGACGGGGTCTGGAGCATGTACTTTATTTTTTTTTAATATAATTTATTGTCAAATTGGCTTACATATAACACCCAGTGCTCATCCCAACAAGTGCCCTCCTCAATGCTTATCACCCATTTCCGCCTCTCCCTCACCCCCATCAACCCTCAGTTTGTTCTCTGTATTCAAGAGTCTATTATGGTTTGCCTCCCCTGGAGCATGTACTTTAAACAGGTTCCCCAGGGGCACCTGGGTGGCTCAGTTGCTTAAGCATCCAACTCTTGGCTTCGGCTCAGGTCATGATCTCATGTTTTGTGAGATCAAGGCCCATGTTAGTCTCTGTGCTGACAGCACTGAGCCTGCTTGTAATTCTCTCTCGTGCTCTTTTTCTCTGACCCTCCCCTGCTTGTAATCTCTCTTTCTCTCAAAATAAATAAATAAATTAAAACAAAACAAAACAAAAAAAACAGGTTCCCCAGGAGATACCTATGTACACAAAGTGTGCTTTATTAGAGTCATGGGAAGGGGAATAACTATTTTTCTAAGTATTTATTAATTATCCAGCCTTGCACCAGGTAGTTAATGTAACTTATAACATCTGATATTTTTGAGCATGTTATTTATCCAACACACTTCACTTTCTGTGAAGAACATCTTTATTAGGAAAATTATATCAGAATCGCAAAATTTTACAGTATACTTAGTTAAGAGAAACTCTTCTTTTAAAATATAAAGAATATGCCCAATGTTCACAGAACACTGGAGAATATCTAAGGCCTTCCTTAATTGGACTTAAATCTGGGTTGGAGTAATGATTCATCAGGCAATAACTATAATTTGAATACTGGCAAGTGGCTGATAAGATATCTGTAAGCTATTAAATGAAAGGAAATAGATAATTCAAGTAGTTTTAAGCCTTAAAGGTATATGAATGAATATATGACAGGAGTAGGTGATCTTTTTAAAATTTATTCCATAAATGAAGTCGTTTAAGATACCATTTCCTTCCCTTAAGGAGGCTATCATCTTGAAAGTTTATTTTACAAGTCATATATGTGATATATCACATATATGTATAAAATAATTTATGCCCAAACATATGTGATGCCAGTAACCTGGAGGTCTATTTAAAACTCAAATGTTTGATCCCCATTTTCTGAAGACTGATTCAGAGGTTTATGTACATCCCAAGCATTTGCTTCCGATAGGAAATCAGGACTGAGAAACACTGCTATATGTAATAAAGAATGGAAAGGTATAATATTGATTTTAAAAAATATTGTCATCCAAAATGCATTAAGATAAAATTAAATTTGCACTTAAGAAGGGTTAAACCTTCAGCTCTTTAGGAATTTTGTGTATCTAGAATGGTCCATTCACCATATTTTGCAGGTAAGTTGGACCTTTTCAGGCATAGATGCAAGAGATATGTTGTATATATTGCAGAACTCTTGACTCAAATATGTACCATATTAACCCTGTGACCTCAGAGATAGTCTGAAGATTTTGTTTTCTTCAAAAATACTCAATATTGCAAAAGTCGTGGCACTATGGTCCCTTCATTCAACCAATACTTGTAGGGATCTGCTGTGTGCTAGGCATTAGAGTTGGAATTCCGTGAGTCTGTGGTAGGTACACCATCTTAGAGTTTACATTTCATTTGTAAATTATTTGATTATTTGATAAACACGATGAAAGAAAAGTATCCTGTTTCCTTACAATGTTAAAGTATCGGGGCGCCTGGGTGGCGCAGTCGATTAAGCGTCCGACTTCAGCCAGGTCACGATCTTGCGGTCTGTGAGTTCAAGCCCCGCGTCAGGCTCTGGGCTGATGGCTCAGAGCCTGGAGCCTGTTTCCGATTCTGTGTCTCCCTCTCTCTCTGCCCCTCCCCCGTTCATGCTCTGTCTCTCTCTGTCCCAAAAATAAATAAACGTTGAAAAAAAAAAAATTTACAATGTTAAAGTATCAAAGTTTCCAGGTTGAAAAAAACACTTAAGGACCTAGGTTCTTTGATAGACAAATTTACAATAAAATTCATGGTTTGTCTTATTTGAAGAGAGAGGGATGATTTTCATAATAGACCCAGTATATCTCCTCTCTTTCCAAAAGACCTCTTTTCATTTTCCTAGTTCAGGGCTCTGATAGTCTTTTCAGAAAAGAAATTCCTGAAACTATTCCTAGTTCTGAGTTTAAGCCAACAAGGGGAAAACAAACTATGATTTTAGGTTCATGGCATTTTTTTGGCCCAATATGGCAAAATGGACTTCCTATCTCCCCTTCAGGCCTCCCCTTCCTTCAGCTTTTTTCTACAGTTTTGAGTGTGTGTTGCTGCTGCTTCTTAGGATGTAGTATTACCAAATACATGGTATAGCATTACCAAAATCTTTCAAGTTGAGTATGGTATTTAAAATTCACTGCAGTTCTGCAAGGTTAAGTATTTTCATTAAGCCCCATTTTATAGAAGACAAAATTGATCTTGGGCCTTGCCCAAGATCACAAGAGTCAAGAAATGGCAGAGTTGGAAATTAACCACAGATTTAATTTGACCCATCCCCTGTATCTTAAACACATACACCCCGGCCATTATATACTCCCATTGCATTCCAGAGTGCTCCCTAATGTTCTTCTTTTATCCATTCGTTTAATAGGATTTGGGGTCATATCTTAAATTATCTCCCAGTTTAATCAGTAAAAACTTTACTGCTATGTAAATCCCCTCCCTAAATTCCATATTTTAAACTCATTGCGCCACTCCAATTAATTGTCCAAATTACTGCAATCATATTTTCTTTCTTCTTCCTTTTTGTGACTCTTTTTTGTTTATCCTCACAGTGGCTAGAACAATAGTCAAATATGAAAACTTTGTTTTTTACTGTCAGGATGTCTCTAAGGGTCGCAAAAGTGAGCCTTTTAAGTGATGCACTTAATCACTCTTTCTACAACTTAAAATCAAAGATTCTACTTCCAGATACCAACAGGAAAGACAAATTAATGCATGTGATATATCATCTCTGGAACCTTAAAGTCATGAAAAAAGAAAGCTCCTCTTCTTGAAGAGAAATGTTCTTTCAGCTGCTTTTGAATTGTTCAGCATGTTTTTAGTTTACTGAGCTGGGGTCTTACATGAGAGAATGCCATTAGAACAATTTTCTTGGCAATGAAAGCAACATGTGGTGCGAATCTATTGCCTTTCATTTTTCTGACATCTTGGGCACGTAGTAATGCTGGTCGTGTTAATTGATTTTGAGACTGTCAGAAATCCAATGTTTTCTGGTTTTTTGTTATTTAAGAAAATTATCACCAGTCTACTGCTTGGCTAGCAAATATATTTGCTTTGAATTTCACTGTTTTCTTGTTTCACAGTGAATGTGCTAGTGAGTTTTTCTGATAATCTGTGTATTTACTAGGAACATTTTTTAAAATACTCCAATGAAGATAAAGGTGTTTTTTCAGAGATATGTCTTGGAAAACCCAGTCTGGTGTGAAATAATGTTGCCAACTATTCTCTGATGTAAAACTTGTTTGTTTGTTTTTTTAAAGGTACCACTGTGGCACTCATTATTCTTGCCTTGGGATTTCTGCTATCAGCACAGGTTTCCCCACGCATCACGTTTAAACCAGTAGCTCCATCAGGACAGAACACTACTTGCACAAGATACAGGTGAGTTTTCAGAATGGTCCCTTAACCTAACTCTAGTACCTTCTACTAGTACCTTTTTGTTTACTTTTAACTTTTCTACAATTTGAGAGATAAGTAGAAGCTTGCATACAGAGGAAGGTAAGGGTGGGAAAGGTGACGGGGAGGGACCACCAGAAGGAGGAATAGCATTTGCAAAGACACGAGGGTAAAAGTGGTTAAGGAAAAAGGGAGTTTGACACAATGTTGATGATGTTTTTCTGGAAATTAAAAGTTGGGATTGTTAGGCAATCTAAGCAGAAATACTGTGAAACCATTTTAGATTATATACGACTCAGTGGCATCTATATTCCAGGTAAAATAAATAACTTTAGTGAGCAATTAAACTCTTCTATGATATACATGTCTGATATAGTAGATTATAATCTGCATATTCTAACAGTCTTCACAGAGTTCCACAGGTATCCCCTCATTCATGTAAGCAGAAAAGGAAGTTTTCTTTCACTGCTGGGGTTCTTCTAGAGCATTAGAAAGTAGAAAGAGATGGTGGAAGAAAGTGAAATATATTCTGATGGCCAACTGCAGGTGTAGGGGCTCCAATGTTAAGTCTAATGATAGACACACTGTGTGATTAGAAGTTGGAGAGATGGATGGATAGACAAGTGGACTGAAGAATGAACAAATGAATTAATTAGAGATTGAGCAGAACAATTATCTAGCAGCAGAGTTTCAAAGTTTATAACTTCATTTTAGTGGTTGAAAAGGCTAGCAGCCCCTTTAAAATATATGGCTAGAACAAGACCTAGCTTTAAAAACAAAATATGATATTCCATCAGCCTCAATTAGATGGACACAGTCAATAGGTGAATGATTTGTTAATTTATTAACTTTTAGTCAGATACTCCTGTATGAAATTAAAACATTACATGGATATACTGAAATCCGCTTGGGATCCACTTGCAAGTTCTTATTGAGCAGGTATTATATTTATGGTGGAATTCTCATTACAATAATGAGGAAGCTATATATTGCTATGCCTTCCTCGTCCAAAATTCTGATACTCACTTTCCTTTAGAGATAAATGGTTATACTCCTTCTTTCTCTTACTAATAAGGTTACTTATTCATTGGCTTACTGATTTTTTTAGTAGTCTTTATCTTGTTCTAAAGAAGACTTAAAGATAAAAGAAGTTAACTTTAGATAGACCATTCCTAGATGTAGTGATGTTTACTTTCTTTGGACATCCCACATCAACTGCTAGATGATAGAGCCATTACCAGAATTCTGCGTGCTCTACTTTTTTTCTTTTTTCTTTTTTTTTTTAATGTTTATTTTATTTTTGAGAGAGAGGGCAAGTGAGCGGGGGAGGGGCAGAGAGGGAGACACAGAATCCAAAGCAGGCTCCAGGCTCTCAGCTGGCACAGAGCCCAATGTGGGGCTCAAACTCAGGAACCAGGAGATCATGACCTGAGCCAAAGTTGGCAACTGACTGATCCACCCAGGTGCCCCTTCTTTTGTTTTTCTTGATGGATATTTTAAGTAAAATGTTTTCAGCAGTTACTTCTGACAAATTGTTTAAAAAATCACTGTTGTTTGAGCAACAACTCTAGTATGATATCTGATTTAGATGGAGTAGTTTAGATTCAGAGTAAGACTGATAACATGCATGGTCAAATCATCTAAAGATAGAAAGTCAGCTGGAGTATGAGAAAAGTTTTATGAGCTTCTGATACACAAAAAGAATAAATAACTTTTGAATGATTTTCATAATAAATTAGTTTTCTTGACATCAACTTTTAAAGTTTAAATAAAAATACTTATTACCCTAATATAGTATGCATAGAAGTTTATGATTATCAACCTATTAATCCTTCTGTTCCTTCTAAGTTGTCATCTACCTAATATCTCAACACCAAGGTATAATGGAGTAGGAGAAGTGATTCAGCCTACTTTTATTCTCATCACAAAAATGGGCAGCAGTTTTTAAAGCGGAACCAAATTTTTGGTGTCCTTTGGGAGTTGGTAAATGTGAAAAACGGTTATATATTTTGTGCCTTCTTTCAGGGTAACATATTAGCCTTTGTGGTTATTTGACAGTGTGTATATATAGTCTGAGTGATTTTATAAAATAGGCCTGCATTCCCTTTTACTTATTTTATTCTGTTATCCTTACTGATTTTGTTCTTGTTTTTGTTAAGACTATGTATACATTTTCCCCTTTAAGATAAACATGAAAGTCATGTTTGTAATACAGTACCATAGGATGAGTAATGTTTAGGCTGTAAATGTAGGTGCTGTGCTTTTCCCATGGAATTGAGCAAATAAGACAGATTTAAAAGGGAAATTGATTTAATATCTATATTAAAAATATTGTATACTATTGATGGAAGTGTAAATATTTATTCTTCATTTCAGAAAGAATACAGTTCTGCCTAATAAAAATTAAATGCCTATGCCCACTGACTTAATACTTCTATTTGTAGAGATCTGTAGACTGTAGTGATGCGTATGTAATCCATTCCAATTAGAGTCCAGTAGATGATTTACAAAAATGAATGGTTCAAGAATGGTGGTTCTTTTTTAGTTTTATAGATATTCATTATGTGGCAGGCGTTAATGTAGGTTTGGGCCCATAATATTGTAGGTTGAGGGTCACTAAGTATTTGAACCCAAGAGATTGACGATTCTAAATATTTTCCAGTGTGAACTTCCCATTTTTGGATTGTTTTGATTTTTTTTGTTGAAGTATAATTAACATGCAGTGCTATATTAGTTTCAGGTATACCTTTCACATTGGTGACTTATAACTGTGAGTCTGTTCTTCTTCATTCCCTTCACCTATTTCTCCTATTCCTCCATCCACCTCCAATCTGGTAACCACCTTTTGCTATCTATATTTAAGAGTCTGTTTGGGCTTTTTATTGTTGTTTCTTCGTTTTGTTTTTTAGATTCTACACATAAGTGGAATCATATAATATTTGTCTTTCTCTGTCTGACTTAATTTCATTTGGCATAATGCCCTCTAGGTCCATCCATGTTGTTGCAAATGTTAAGATACCATTCTTTTTTATGGCTGCATAATATATAAATACTGTATATTCTTTGTCCATTCATTTACTGGTGGACACTTGGGTTGTTTCATACCTTGACCATATGTATAATAAACATAGGGGTGCATATATCTTTTTAAATTAGTGTTTTTGTTTTCTTTGGGTGAATAACCAATAGTAGAATTATTGGATCACCTGATATTTCTATTTTTAATTTTTTGAGGAGCCTCCTTCCTGTTTCCTGCAGTTGTTGCACCAATTTACTTCCTGCCAACAGTGCAGGAGGATTCCCTTTTCTCCATATCCTTGCCAACACTTGTTATTTCTTGTCTTTTTATTTCTAGCCATTCTAACAGGTATTAAGGTGATTCCTAGCTGTGGTTTTGGTATGCATTTTCCTGATGATTAGTGATGTTGAGCATCTTTTCATGTGTCTTTTGGCCATCTGTATACCTTTTCTAAATTTTTTTTTTCAACATTTATTTATTTGTGGGACAGAGAGAGACAGAGCATGAACAGGGGAGGGGCAGAGAGAGAGGGAGACACAGAATCGGAAACAGGCTCCAGGCTCTGAGCCATCAGCCCAGAGCCTGACGCGGGGCTCGAACCCACGGACCGCGAGATCGTGACCTGGCTGAAGTCGGGCGCTTAACCGACTGCGCCACCCAGGCAGGCGCCCCATTGTATACCTTTTCTAAAAAAAATGTATATTCCGGTTTTCTGTGCATTTTTTGATCAGATTGTTTTTCTTTAGTGTTGACTTGTATAATAAGTTCTTTATATATTTTGAATATGAATACCTTCTGGGATATGTCATTTGCAAATATCTTCTCCATTCACTGGGTCACCCTTTTGTTTTGTGGATGGTTTCCTTTGCTGTGTAAAGGCTTTTTATTTTGATGTAACCCCAATAGTTTATTTTTGCTTTTGTTTTTCTTGACTGAAGAGACATTCATAAATATGCTGCTAAGGGTGGTGTCCAAGAGATTACTACCTATGTTTTCTTCTAGGGGTGTTTGGGTTCCAAGTCTTACATTTAGGTCTTTAATCCATCTACAGTTTATTTTTGTGTATGGTGTAAGAAAGTGGTCCAGTTTCATTTTTTTTTAATGTAGCTGTACAGTTTTCCGAACACTATTTATGGAAAAGACAGTCTTATCCCTTATTGTGCATTCTTCCCTCCATTGTCATTAGATGATTGACCATATAAGTGAAGATTTCTTTCTGGATTCTTTTTTTTTTTTAAGCTATTTATTTGAGAGAGAGAGAGAGAGAGAGAGAGAGAGAGAGAGAGAGAGCGAGAGTGTGCACACACTGCAGAGGAAGAACAGAAAGAGAGGGAGACACAAAATCTGAAGCAGGCTCCAGCACAGAGCCCAGCATGGGGCTTGAACCCACGAATCGTGAGATAGTGACCTGAGCCAAAATCAGATGCTCAATCTGCTGAGCCACCCAGGTGCCCCAAGGACTCTCTATTTTGTTCCATTGATATATGTGTCTGTTTTTGTGCTAGGACCACACTGTTTTAATTACAATAGCTTTGTAGTATATCTTGAAATCTAGGATTGTGATACGTCTAGCTTTGCTCTTCTTTCTCAGGAAAGCTTTGACTAGGTCTTTTGTGGTTCTAATACAAATTTAGAATTATTTGTTCAATTTATGTGAAAAATGCTGTTGGTATTTTGATAGCATTGCATCAGATCTGTAGATTGCTTGGGGTAGTATGAACATTTTAATGATATTAATTCTTCCAGCGTATGAACATGGTGTAACTTTCCATTTGTGTTGTCTTTAATTTCTTTCATCAGTGTCTTATCACCTTCAGTATAGGCCTTCAACCTCCTTTGTTAAATTCATCCCTAGGTATTTTATTCTTTTGGTACAATTGTAAATAGAACTGTTTTTTTTTAATTCTCCTTTTGCTACTTCATTATTAGTATACAGAAAATGCAAGAGATTTCAATATATTACTTT